AACTGTACAAAAAAAGATCTTCATGACCCAGATAATCACCATGGCTTGATCACACACCTAGAGCCAGACATCCTGGAATGTGAAGTCAGGTGGGCCTTAGGAAGCATCACTCTGAACAAAGCTAGTGGCGGTGATGGAATTCCAGTTGAGCTATTTCAAATCCTAAAAGATGATGCTGTGAAGTGCTGCACTCAATATGCCAGCAAATTTGGAAAACTCAGCAGGGGCCACAGGACTGGAAAAGGTCAATTTTCATTCCAATCCCAAAGAAAGGCAATGCCAAAAATGCTCAAACTTACCTCACAATTGCACTCATCTCACACGCTAGTAAAGTAATGCTCAAAATTCTCCAAACCAGGCTTCAGCAATCTGTGAACTTCCAGATGTTCAAGCTGGTTTTAGAAAAGGCAGAGGAACCAGAGATTAAATTGCCAACATCCGCTGGATCATCAAAAAAGCAAGAGACTTCCAGAAAAACATCTATTTCTGCTTTATTGACTATGCCAAAGCCTTTGACTGTGTGGATCACAACAAACTGTGGAAATTCTGAAAGAGATGGGAATGCCAGACCACCTGACCTGCCTCTTGAGAAATCTGTAGGCAGGTCAGGAAGCAACAGTTAGAACTGTACATGGAACAACAGACTGGTTCCAAATAGGAAAAGGAGTAGGTCAAGGCTGTATATTGTCACCCTGTTTATTTAACTTATATGCAGAGTACATCATGAGAAATGCTGGGCTGGAGGAAGCACAAGCTGGAATTAAGATTCCTAGGAGAAATATCAATAACCTTAGATATGCAGGTGACACCACCCTTATGGCAGAAAGTGAGGAAGAACTAAAGAGCCTCTTAATGAAAGTGAAAGAAGAGAGTGAAAAGTTGGCTTAAAGCTCAACATTCACAAAACAAAGATCATGGTATCCAATTTCCATCACTTCATGGCAAATAGATGGGGAAACAGTGGCTGACTTTATTTCTCTGGGCTCCAGAATCACTGCAGATGGTGATTGCAGCCATGAAATTAAAGGAAGGAAAGTTATGACCAACCTACACAGCATATTAAAAAGCAGAGACATTACTTTGTCAACAAAGGTCCGTCTAGTCAAGGCTATGGTTTTTCCAGTAGTCATGTATAGATGTGAGTTGGACTATAAAGAAAGCTGAGCACTGAAGAATTGATGCTTTTGAACTGTGGTGTTGGAGAAGACTCTTGAGAGTCCCTTGGACTGCAAGGAGATCCAACAAGTTCATCCTAAAGGAACTCAGTCCTGAATATTCATTGGAAGGAGTGATGTTGAAGCTGAAACTCCAATACTTTGGCCATCTGATGCGAAGAGCTGACTTATTTGAAAAGACCCTGATGCTGGGAAAGATTGAAGGCAGGAGGAGAAGGGGACAGAGGATGAGATGGTTGGATCGCATCACCAACTCAATGGACATGAGTTTGAGTAAGCTCTGGGAGTTGGTGATGGACAGGGAAGTGTGGTATGCTGCAATCTATGGGGTCACAAAGAGTCAGACACAACTAAGCAACTGAACTGAGCTGAAGCCGGAAAGAAATGTAGCTGTTTTATGTGTTAATCCCAGTTACTTGACTCTGGGGGACCATCTAATCCAAGACTGAAAACAGCCCACCCAGTCTGGCCTGCCAGTGACGACCTAATCTCTATATTTAAACACTTCACCCAGACCCACCCCTACCCACATTCTTAAAAGTCCCAAACTGCTGCTGCTGCTAAGTCGCTCAGTCGTGTCCTACTCTTAGCGACCCCATGGACTGCAGCCTACAAGGCTCCTCCATCCATGGGATCTGCCAGCCAAGAGTACTGGAGTGGGCTGCCATATCCTTCTCCGAAAGTCCCAAACTACTCCTCGTTAAAATATTTACTCTCACCAGACCAGCTCAGCTACCAATTTGGAAAATGATGAATTGTTTCAGGTGAGACTGTTGACAGCTTTGATTATCTCAGAGAATATTTACATTCTAAAGGCAATGTTTACAAATGGAAAGAAACACAGTATTTGCAGATTTTCAGACTTTAAGAGGAGAGCATTCTTAAATGATAAGCTCATTAACCTCATCAAGTTTTGTCATTCTGGGCCTAATGCCTCATTCTCACACGAAAGCCTTGGCACAGGACATTTTTCTCTGCCTAGATACTTCATTCTTCAGAATCATTGTCACTTTGTAGGGGGACTGTCCCAGATCATGTTGGCTCCTTCTGTTATAGGCCCCCACAGTACACCTGCACATCTTTTGAAACAGTCACGACACCTGCAACACTTGGTCCGTGACTATCACCCTCTCCATTAGATGACAGTTTCTGTGAGGTGAGGGTGAGGTCTGCCTTGTGCTGTGTTCACTGTTACCTTCTTGGTCTCTAGCATATGGGAGATACTCAAACATTTGTTGATGACTGAATGAATGAAGGAAGGGTGGGGACCTAGTGATCTTACTCTGGGTTTACAGGTGATTTCCACATTAGTGGCTCCTGGAAACTTAAATAGGAATGAAACATTTGAGCCCCTCAGAGCTCAAGTACCAAAACCATTGACTTTCCAAACACACCTAATATCCTGTGTTCATCCCCAGTCTTGTCCAAAGCCCGAAGTGGCAAATAAATACACAAACAAGTGGGACAGATTTTCAACATGGTGACAAAACTATTATTTTTTTTGGCCATGACAATTCAATGGGAGAAGAGTCATCTTTTCTACAAATAGTGTTGGAATAACTGGATATATGCATGCAAAAGAATGGTGTTGAATCCCTTCCTACACTCTACACAAAAATTAACTCAAAATGGATCACAGACCTAATGTAAGAGCTAAAACTACACAACTCTTAGAAGAAAACATAGCAGATATTTGTGACCCTGGGTTATTCAAAACTTTCTTAGACATGATGCCAAAATAAATTGATAAAAATAAATTTGACTTCATCAAGATTAAAAACATTCATGCTTCAAAGGACACTATCAAAATGAAAATATAACCCACAGAATGGGAGAAAATATGAATTATCAATGTAATAAGGATTTGTATCCAGAATATATACTCTTACAACTCAACAATAAAAAACCACAAAACACAATTGAAAAAATGGATTTGAATAGACATTTTTTTCCCCAAAGGTATACAAATGACCAGTAAGTACATGAGAGTTACGTTCAACATCATTAGCCATTAGGGGAATGTAAATCAAGACCCCAGTGAGATACAGCTTCACTCCTATTAGGATGGCTATCATCAAAATGATAGATGGCAATGATGTGGAGAAAGTGAAACACTCATACACCGCTGGAGGGAATGTAACAGAATTTCGGAAGTTTAGCAGTTCCTCAAAAAGTTAAACATGGAGTTATCATCTGACCCAGTAATTCCATTCCTCAGTATATACCCAAGAGAAATTACTACATCCACACAAAAACCTGTAGATGAATTTTCATAGCAGCGTTATTTGTAATAGTCAAAATGGGTAACCCTCATGTCCATCAATGGATAAATGGATAAATAAAATGTATATTTACAAAATACTTAACCATAAAAAGGAATGAAGAACTGATATGTATTACAACTTGAATGAATCTTAAAAACCTTGAAAATGAAAGAAGCCAGTCACAAAAGGCCACATATTATATGACTCTGTTTACATGAAATGTCCAGAATAGGCCAATCAGTAGAAATAGAAAGTAGACTGCTAATTGCCCAGAGCAGGGTACAGGTGGGTGGGGATTGTGGGAAGTGGGGGATCAAGGGTGACTGCAATTGGAATGGCATTTCTTTTTGAGGTGATAAAAACATTCTGGAATTGACTGTGGTGATGGCTGTATAACTCTTTGACTATACTAAAAACTACTGAATTGAACACTTTAAATGGATAAATAGTATGGTATGTGAATTACCTCAATAAAGCTGTTAAAAATTTTTTAAGTAGGATAAAGAAATATTATGCTATTTCAAAACATCACACATCTCTTAGAAACCAATTTCACATTCGTTTTCTCAAGTATCAGGGAAACGCAGGCTTCTGTCTTCTCGACACTCTGGGTCCCAAGCTCATCCATTTTCTCGTGGGCCTGTGCAGCTGTTTAGGGCTCAGTGCAGGAATCCCAATCCCGATGAATCGTGGATCTGCAGGCTTCTTTCAGGGAAGCACTTCAATTCTATAGAGTCATGTATTTTTCTCTCTTAACAATAACCTGCCCTTGAAGCTTGAACTGCAGCACACAAAAAAAATTTTCTTTCTTTCCAGCATAGACAAGTTCACTCCATGAAGTTAACCTGAAACTCACTTGGTAGGCATTTGGAGGAGGCCAGAGTGCCAGGATGACCAAGCCCTAAATGTCATATGCTCAACTTTTAAGCTTGTGATTTATTCTCTCCCTCCATCCCTCCTTTTCTTTCATCCAGGTTCTTCAGCTTTGGGACAAAGGTCTAAGCACCCACCCCATCACCCACACCAGGAGTGCTGGATGGGAAGAGGCAGAGAAGCTGCCTGGAGTTTGAGCTGCATTTCCTGGCTCTGGGGGCTTGGGCTTCACATCCACCCACTCCTGAGTCACGTTATTCCCCTTCTTCATGCCTAAGGCAGAGCTTGGTCAGGGTTCTGGAGCAATTCCTGCCCTGGCATGTCAGAAGGAACCAGTGAACACACAGGGAAGTCTGACAGGTGAAGGATTTAAAAGCAAGCAAGGACTCTTCTCAAGTGAAAATGGCTAGTCTAGAGGGGAGCTCAGAGCAGTAGATACAAGCTGAAATAAATGAACAACTGGATTAACAAAATCCACAAAGGCATAGGCTTTATTTAAGAAGTCCTTGAGATACAAAGGAAGACTAGGGCTAGGTCTACGGATAACAGAAGCCGAACCCCCCGAGTGTCAGAGCGCTCTAGGGGTAAAAGCAGGTGGGAGCAGGGGACAGAAAGGTGGGTGGCTTGGTATTTTCTGGCTTTAGAAAGTCAGAGAGCCCAGATCCCAGCTAGAACATCCCAGTACTGGTTATAGATTCTTTACAAAGGTGTTTACCTGTGGGAAAGAGAAAAACAAAAAGTTAAATTTCACATTTTCAGGAGACTATGCACTAGTCCATCCATAATGCATGTGTAGCCAAGCCTTCGAGTTTTTTGTGAGGAAGAGAACACAGGAATGGAAAGGAAATGTGACCTGCCCAGGGTATCAAGTGGCAGAGCTGGAGAGAACCCAGAAGTCTCATTTCCCTAGTTCTAGAATACCTCAGATGAGGAAGTCAGCTGGAAAGCACATCTTACAAGGCAAGTATTTAACAATTGTTAGCCCCAAATACTTTAGAGAATAGAGATTATATTAATAACTTATCCAAGGCCCCATAGGCTTTGGAGTGTGAAATGCAATTTGAGGCGCAATGCATAGGACCCATACTGAAGTTCTGGAGTGACAGAAATGTAAAAAAAGAAAAGCGGGAGCTAAGGTCTTCCCCACCCTCCTCATGAGCTCTTCTTGTATGGTTACTTCTTCCGAAAAATCATCATTGACATCCAACACGAGCACTGGGATGTTCAGCAGAGCCTCAGAGTGGAGCCTGTAAGAAGCACGAATATTTAGGGAACAGAAAAAAGATGGTAAGCTTCACATTCTCACCAGTCTTAATAATTCAGAACAGCTCTAAGGTCACAGGGCTTCTCAGGGAAATTTCATGTCAACAGTTTAAAAAAGGAATTCAATAAAGTTGGCTGCAAAGACGAGACTGAAATTTCTCTTTGGTCTGAAGACTGATACTGAAGGTCAGAGCCCCGAACAACTTAAATGGACAGCAAACTAGGGATGTTAACTTGGTACACACGGACTATTTTTCAGCCCTTTACCCTGAGCCAACTACTTCAGCATCATCAATCACCATGTTCAGTCTAGGGGAATATCGAAAAATAAAAAAGCTGGGAAACAGAATCTAAGAAAAAGTTTCTTGGAATATATGGATTAAATCCAGTATTAATTTTCTGATGGGGATAATGCTTGACAACTCCAGCCACTTCCAGGACATTCTGAATCTGCTTAAGGGGCTGCGTGTCCAGCTGCCTGTATTTTAATGACTGGTTGCAGGAAGGCGGCCTCTGTCCACGGCCACTCTCTCCTCCACTTACGGGGTCGTCCTGTGGACAAGCCAGGCTTCGTGTTGACCATGAAGCTGCTCCAGATACGCCAACTCAACTTCTTTCTCCTCTTGCCTGGCCCTCCGGTGTAGTCTCTTTAAACAAACCTGAAAGACAATCCCCAGGCTCTGCTGAGCTCATGTTACAAAAGCTGGGGGGCTCTCAGGCCTACTTGCTATGTCTATCCTGGGCACTAGAGCTACGACATTCCTTCTGCGACCTTGTTTGCTTAGTGAATCACAGGTTAGTGGCAAATATCATCTACCCTAGAAACCTGGAATTATTATTTTTTCCCTCCTCCCTGCCACGTCCAGGAAGTCACTGAATTCTCTTTCATCTCTCTCCAGCTGGTTCTCTCCTTGCCTCTCTCCCCGCCCTGTCCTGGTCAGGGCCCCAGCACTGCTCACCTGGACTATGGAGCAAGAGCCTTCTGACTCTCTGCCTCCTGGAGGCAGTGAAGTGTATGAAGGAGCACAGGCCTTAACGTCAGAAGGTCCAGGACTAAATTCCCATCTTCGCCAGGCACCAGGGGGGTAAGCTTGGTGGGCTCTCATGTCCTCTCCTCAACCCCACGGGTCACTGTGAAGACTCACAGAAGGGACCCGTCAGTTCCTGGCAAATGCTCTTTTCTCCTACTCTTCCAGGTCAGTCCACCCTTCCAGAGTATTGCAATAAACAGCTGTCCCTCAGTATGTGCAGTGGGGGTTGGTTTCAGGACCCTCTGGGGGTACGAAATTCCAAGGCTGCTAGAGCCCTTTATGTGTGTGAAATGGCAGAGGGCTCTCCACATTGGGGGTTCCATGTCTGGATCCGGAGGGCTGACTCTAACGGTATGACTCTCCTTGCTTAAAGTACCTCACAGGTGCTTATCGCCTGCAGTCCCAGGCACAAGGAAGTATGAGTGACATCATATTTACAAAAGGGTAAGTAATTTGAAGTCATGTCATATCACACATTCACTCTGGGGCAGAATGCAAATTCTGCATAGGCCAAAGTTCAAAAAATAAAAAAGTGAGGTTCGAGACTCACTGTCTCTCAGTCCCTCCAGTGTGCGCATAATTCCAGTCTGTCTTCATCTGGTCAGAAAATCTGAAGCACAATGGTTCAGGGACTGTGACCTTCTCCTTTACTGGTCACACAGGGCCATTCCCAGAGTCTGGCCACTCCTCCTAACTCTCCACTCTTGACATCCTTAGCTCCTTCCTCTCCTGAAGCCGGATGTGACCTCCTGTCTGCAGTACAGACCAAGCTCTTTCGCATCTCAAAACTTTCGCTCTGAATGTCTGCTTTGCCTGAATTGCCTTCCTTCCTCTCTATGCATGGCAAACACTTCATTATTCAGTGTCATCTGTCCTGGGAAGAACACGTAGATTAACTCATTGATTTAGGACTTCTCTCTTTCAAATAGTTAAGTTTTATTCCCAAATGCAAACTTTTATCCCCAAATACAATGTATACTATTCCCAAAGATGCAATCTTCGCTGTTTCCCTCTTGTACCATCTTTTCTCTATGGAAAGAAAACCATATAAACAAATTTCATTTATGATCTTCTGCCCAACTTTTCAGATTGATTAACACAGGTTAACAGTCTAACATGCTAATACTTTTACCACTTATCCCTTTTCATCTCCTTCCCTTGAATCAAGAACTGTTCTAAAGTTAGATGAAGTCCTTGTCCTAGGGATTCTATAATCTAATTAGATAACAAGTAAAACAACATATGCAAAACAGCAAGTCAGGTGCTCTACTGTGAGGTTTGGATCTTAAGTACAGAAGTCAGATAAGGAAGACAGCAGCTGGGCTGGGGCAGTCCGAGGAGCTTCCTGGAAGAGGCAGGGGCTCCCCCTTTGCCGCTGGCACCAGTTTACTCAGCACACTCTGTGAGCCAGGCACTCTCTAGGCCCTGGACAAACAGACCACTGGTGGCACTTCAGCTGTATCAGATGACAGAAGGAGGTCTGCACGGGGTGCTCTGAGGGCACGGTGACTGGGGGAGACCCAGAAGGCAGGCCAGAATCTGTCTGGTTCAGGGCTGAGCACACGGCCTGGCAGGACAGGTGGTCAATGCATATTTGTGGCACATACTCACTGAATGTTTTCATTTCTGACCTAGTCTATCTCTGTTGACAGTTTGCTCCTACTTTCATCTTTTTCCATCTCAACTTTCCTTCACTCTGAACCTCCTCTTCTTCCTTCTGTCATTCTGTCCCTACATCTTTTCCTCACTGCTGACTGCTTCAAGACTTCTCCCTCTATTCCCCTGCTTCCCCATCACACAGCTTTACAGCCCTGACTAACCACAACCCAGCTCTCTGCCCCACTGATGACAGATGTTAGTGACTGTTGTCTACTTTCAGAAAGATTTTACACATAGACGCAGTCTTACCTCACTTAAAAAAATATATAAAAGGTCTCCTATTACATACTTAGTTCTTATTTTTCTTAAGAATATGTTTTGAAGATTGTTATATGTCAGTATAGTACCTTCCAGTTCTTTTTCATGGCTTCAGAGTTTTTCAGTGCATGGATGGAGCACAATATATTTAACTGGCCTCTACTGATGACTACTTGGGTTGTTTATAATAATTTGCTATTATAAACAATGCTGCCCTGCACACGAGCCATTTTGCCTATGTGGGAGCATATTTATGGAGTAAATTCCAAGAAGCATGATTAATAGGGCAAAACTATGTACCCCGCTAGCACACACTGCCAGACTGCCTCCTTAGAGGCTGACCAATTCACATTCCTGCCAGCAAGGTAGCTTCAGGATTTCTAAACATAGCAAAGCTACCTAATTTTCCTGAGAGAAAAATATTATCAGAATTAATGAAAATGCGTATTTTTTAGAATGTGACGTTATGTTTTCAATTATACACCAGGGCGGAGCAATTCTTTTTATAAAAACTGTAATTATTCATTCATTGCTGGCAGGCAAACACTGATGCTAAAGTCTTTCCTATTAAAATAGGCTAACATTTCCCTTTGCACTATTAATTTACTTAATAGAGCAAACTTTTCTCCCCCCACCCAGAAGCCTAGGTAAACTTCTATTTTGAACATTTCGGGTAATTCTTGCTGTACTGATATGGTTACAAGTTCTTAAAAACACCCAAAGCACCAGCCTTGTGCAAACAGTGCTTTAGTCTGGTTCCTCTTTACCTCAGTCCTCATGGGGAGGACGCGCTGAACGTGAACAGGAGAGACAGTGCAGCCGCAAACAGCAGGGGCTGTCCACTCCCCCCAAGCCTTGCGGAGAGCCGCTGTTGGGACCGCCTGCAGTTAGACAGCAGCTGCACAGGCTCTGCTCGTGGGTCTGGCCCAGGTGCCACCGGTCCCAGGTGCCACCGGTCCCAGGTGTCTGCAGCACACAGCGTCCAGGCTGCAAACACGGCCTGGCTCTTGGAGCCACACTGGCCAGCCGCACTCTCTCTTGCTGGTTCTTTGGGGCACTGAGGCCCAGCCATTTCTCTTCTGATTTTTTTCCCCCACTGCTGGCTCGCTTGCTTTTTACAGGTTAGTGAAGAGTAGGTAGGAAGGAGCGAAATGCCCTTCTGAAGCCCATCACATGAGCTCTAAGCCAACATCTGCGGGACTCTGCACTGGGGACTGGGCGCTCACACCGCTTTCTACACAGAGATGTTCCACTTCTGTTCTGCTCTCTCACAGTCCCTCTGGGTCTCACAGCAGAGGCCGGGGGTGACTTCAGGGGAAGGAAATCAACATTCTCGGTTCTAGTGCCATCAAAATAGCACCAAAATCCCCATTCAATCCCAAAATGAATAAGCAGTTTTTTTCTACCATCAAGTTGCAGTAATCCTTAATCCTTCAACCCTTATTCTACCCCAGCTGAAATACCTCAATTCGTCTCTCCAAAAAGATGTTATCAGCTACACCATAATAATTACAATCACCACCACCATTGTTATCATCCTTGTCCCATCTCACAAAGTCATTCCAAGTACACAAAGATGTGGGGAAGACTTTCTTCCTTTCTATGCTGGGTCCCAGTGTCCCAGCAGGTTAGGTCAGGGACCAGGAAAAGCTTAGGTGTCAGTACTTTCAATTCTTCTCTTAATGCTTAGTCCCTCAACCGACTGCTACTTTCAACTCTCCATCCCATGAACTCCTACTGGAAACCTGTCACCTCTTCAAATCCAACCACAATCTTCACTCAGTTCAAGCCCACAATGCTCTTAACTCATCCTTGGCTCAGGCCACGAGCCTTCCTGGGGGCCAGGACTTTCCTCTCACCTGAACCCTACGTTCGGCTACCATAAACCATCCTTTTGGCAGGGGTCTCCTTCTCCCCTAAACACTGACACCAATCCCTGCCCCTACAGTACAGTCACGTCATAACTGGTCTCTTCTGTTCCCGCTCCCAGGAAATGACAACTACTGCAAGAAGTCATAAGTGTGCGAGGCTGCCACCTTCAGCTTTGCTCTTTTCACAGAAGATTCTCAGCCCTCTGGCTTCACTGCATCTCCAGCTGAGTTTCACTTAAACCTGAGACCCTACTTACTTCCATGGAATCTCTATTTCCTCACAATCTTCAGAAGCTCCTGACATAAAGAGCCCCGATACCTGGTCCCTTTCACACCCAAGGCCCTTGCCTGCTGCCTCCCTTCCTGAGGTCAGGCCCTTTCATCAAGTCCTCTCCCCTCTGGATCCCGGCAGTCTGTGTCACGGGGGCTCTTCCACCCATTTTCTGACCCTGACCAGTCTGCTCTCAGGCTTCTTCCTTCCACAAGATTGGTCATATCCCTAAAAGCCTGGCCTCTAGCCTGAAGAGAATTGTCCCTCCTAAGACTATGTGTTATACCTGGCATTTGACTGTATGTCAGATATCTGTCTAAAAAGGTGAGAGCAACACATCCCTCAAAAACACCCCCTGTCTTGACTCCCACTCCACAAGAGCCCTTAAGAGATCACGTGTCTGTGACACTGGATTGGACAGACAAGGACCCCTCCAGGGGAAAGGTTTCCAGGGCCTGCCCATGGCTGGCAGAGCCAAGGACCCCTGCCGTCTCCAGAGACTCCACATCACCACCCTACTGTGTGCTGGGCTGGCCCCATGGTCCAGGTCAGAGGTCATGGATACAACTCCCACAGTCCATTGTGCCTTACCAGTGGCATCCTTAAGGTTCAAAAAAGCAGACCACGAATTAGGAGAGTATCAGGACAAGGTGAGGAAACCCTCTTCGTCCTCATGACATGCTAGTCAAGAAACCATTAAGACCACCATGGACTCTGATGACCCAGTTAGAGGGAAGGAAAAGCTGAGGTAACTGGCTAAAGGTTAGCTGGTCAGAGGGTCAAAATTGTAGATCCAAGTGATAAAGCGCAATCTTCTCTAGGTGGTCGCTACATCAAGAGGGACCCTTTAGCCCTCTGCTACAGAAAGCCTATGGGAACTGGGTCCTTGTGTTAGAATGGGAGGGTGCTCACCCACTGCTCTCCATGCTCCAGGTAACACCCACAACCAACTTTCTCCAACTAGAAAATGAGAGGCTCAGAGAACATCACCTCTTAAGTTTCATATGGCCCTAATGTTTAAGGCTTTAAATTCTGTCTTACCTGGGGAGCAGCCTGGAGGTAGATGAAGCCATGTAATCTGAGCCGGCTGGCAAACTCCTGCAGGAGAAAATAATGCCAGTCCTGATAGATATGCCATTCAATGTCACTGAGGGAACCATTTTCAAAAAGAGTCTTTGCAAAGATATACCTGGTTGGAAATGTAGGTGGGATGGGTGAGGGAAGAGAATGGGAAATGGAATGAAAGGCAAAAGAAAGAAGCAAAAAACACATTAATAACAACTTGTTCCATGTCTGTCCAAACCACTTAAACTTTTTGGCTCCTTACTGATTTTTAAGAAGTCTGAATTCTTCACCTACATCTTTTGCTCAATACTGAGAATAGCATTTAGACTTTAGAGGCCAAAATCTCTGAGTGGATTAATCCACTGGAAGAAAAAGGGCACCGAAAGGCAGTACTATTGGTTGCTAACAATTTTTCCTCCTGGAAACCAGTCAAAACATGTGCAAATGGTGTAAATGCAAACTTTTAAGGTTTCATTATTACTGTAAGTAAGCCCCCAAACAAAAAACAACCTAGTATAAAGCACCCACGACTTACTTTAAGGACTCAAGGGCTCTGAGGCTCCAGGTTGCAGAGCCATCCTTCTATCTAGCCAAGAAGTAGAGCAGGAACTGTATTTAAGTCATGTCCCCTATGGAGCAGGAAACGCATTTCCTACTAACTGCAGTATCACCAAGAAAACAAACTCTCCTCCAAAGCAAGCCTCCTCTGCTTCTGACCTTCTAATCCAGATACGAGAAGGCTAAATCTAAAAAGCAGTCTCGCTTTGCCCCATGCTTACTTCCGTAACTAAAGGAGCACCTGGTAAACATGAGGTCGGAGCCTACTAGAACCATCGTTTCAGGAGGGGCAACTCCGCTTTCCAACCTCAGGCATCTGGGTACAAAACACAGTTTACATCTCAAGTAATGAATTCCAGTTCCTAAGGCAATACTCAGCAACTGGCTACTTCTGGAAAAATGAGATTCACAAGACTTGTCTATGAATGGTTCAGGGAGGTATACACCACAAGGCTGCGAGTGCTGCATAGAGAATGGGTTGAAGAGTCACATTCCTGAGTCTGACATGGCTTCAAAATTCACTAGCTGTGTCACCAGGGGCAAGTCATCAAACTCTCAGGCTGCTTCTTCCTCTGTACATAGATAACAGCTGAACCTAATTCATAGAGTTGTGAGAACTGTACATAATACTTACAAGGTGCTTACAACAGTGAATGGCACATACTACTAAAGATACCTAGCTGTCACTGTAACGACCTCGTTGTCAGGCTATGAAGGCACTAATTTGGGAGCTCGAGAAGCCAACTCTTCCAGTCTGAAATGGTTTAACTATAGCCTAGCTGAAGGCAACAAAGAAAAGAGGTGCATTTCTAATTCAGTATCTGAAAAATGTTTTCAGCTTCTTCATAAGTAACATGGAAATCTGTTAATTAGTCTTATAAAAGGCCCTGACCTTTTTTTGAGTATGAGCACTTCTTTATTTCTCCAAAGCTGGTAGTGAAGGGGCAAGAGGACGTAGAGGCCATGGTGCTAAATGCTGAGGGGCTTGGGGGGAGCCACTGCAGCCTGAATGAAGGGGCTGCAGGAAAGAGCCAGCTTAAGCACCAAGGCATCAGGGTCCCTGCTCTAAAACCACATGTTATTGTTTTCTTTCAACTCAAATAGAAAAGATTTAGATTTCTCCCTCCTTGTCATCCACTCTCCCAAACAAGCTATGTCCCTCCTTTGGAACACATATAACACACCTGAGCAGGTGTGCAGTCTCAGAGTTCCCTGTCAGACTAAGGTCACCATGACGGCAGGAGCTGGGTCTGCTCTACTTACTGCTGCAAGCCCCCAGGTCTGACCCAGTGCCTCAACTCAGGTGGTATTCAACAAATCTGTTCCTTTGCTGAGCCAAATGAATAAATTTTTAAAGGAGCAGAGAGGCTCTAAATTACCATCAGAGTTAAGAGTGTGTAATCAGTTATCCCTTCTGTCCCAAAAATGTCCCCTCTGAAGAAAACATCTAGGATGTTGTAGCTGCCTATAGTGCAATCAGTTGTCTTCCTTTACAAGTAAATGTTACGGTCGCGTACCTTTTTTTTGGCCATGCCACGCCACGTGAGGGATCTTAGTCCCCCAACCAAGGATCAAACCCATTCCCCCTACAGTAGAGGCACAGAGTCTTAACCACTGGACCGCCAGAGAAGTCTGGAGATCTTCTAATCAGATCTTCTAAAGTCCATGTACCTTATAAACAAAGTACTTCTATTTTTAAGGGGTCTCTCACATGTCTACCTCACTAAAGGGCTGAAAATCAAAAGACCAATGGCAAGTGTGTTTCCAGGCAGGTAGCAATATGTCATTCATCTTCCTAATTCAAAAGGCAAGGCTTGGGAGAGGGAAAAGGAAGATAAATAGTAGTTTATCCAACACTTGAAAAAACAACAAAAATCTACAGCTCAACCATTTACAATTCACATATTTAGCTTTTAAAAAGAACAGGCTCTCTCTTGGGGTCTACAGAGAAGGAGTGCCTAGCCTATAGGGTTTGCATTACATATCTTGAATGATTTTTAAGTAATGCTTAAAAAAGTCACAATACATTTACAAATGTCCCCTTATTTTTCCCTCCAGGAGACTTATGGGAGGACTAAGAAGCAGAGCTAGCTTTGTAACCCGGAAGTAAACAGGTAACCAATCCAGTGTCTCGAGAAGGGAATGGACAGGGCTTCCCTGGTGGCTCAGCGGTAAAGAATCTGCCTGCAGGAGACATGGGTTCAATCCCTGATCCAGAAAGATCCCACATGCCCCAGGGCAACTAAGCCCATTCGCCACAACTATTGAGCCTGTGCTCTGGAGCTGGGGAGCTGCAACTACTGAAGCCTGCATGCCCTAATGCCCGTTGTCCCCAACAAAAGAAGCCACTGCTCCCCTGAGCACCAAAATGAAAAGCAGCCCCCACTCTTTGCAACTAGAGAGAGCCTGTGCAGCAACGAAGACCAAGCACAACTCAATATATATAAATAAAAGTTTTTTAAAAAGACGTGAATGGACAATAAAGTGAAACTTTCCATTTTGACCATTCAAAAGGGCTTCAGAGCTCATCATGCTTTGAGCCACCCTCTCACACTGACACAGGTCATTCATAGCCCTCAGATAAAAAACCGTCAGCAATGTCCAGATCAAGGCACCCACACTTCACCTTCAAATGGCTGAAACACAAGTCTCAGCCTGGTCTTGTGGCAGAACCAGGAATTCTGGAGTACAGATGGACTAGCTCCTCTAGAATAGAGGGGCTGAATTCCCAAGCTAGCTGCTAGCCTTTGTGAAAAGTGACTCCCCACCTCACTCCCTTGGGTAGATAGCACAATGCCCTTCCCTGGACCGATGCTGCTGCTGCTGCTAAGTCGCTTCAGTCGTGTCTGACTCTGTGTGACCCCACAGACAGCAGCCCACCAGGCTCCCCTGTCCCTGGGATTCTCCAGGCAAGAACACTGGAGTGGGTTGCCATTTCCTTCTCCAATGCATGAAAGTGAAAGGTGAAAGGGAAGTTGCTCAGTCGTGTCCGACTCTTCTCGACCCCATGAACTGCAGCCTACCAGGCTCCTCCGTCCATGGGATTTTCCAGGCAAGAGTACTGGAGTGGTGTGCCATTGCCTATTCCATTGGACCTATGAGAGACTGGATATCTCTTATAGACTCTGGCCAATAATAAGTCCTCTCACACGACAGAGTCAAAAATGGTTAAACCCAAGATAGAAGTCAATTTTTCAGATGTGCTTCTACTCAGAAATCCTTTCTTGAAGAATAAAACAAGGATGAATGTATTTCTCCTATCATTTTAGGGACACAGGTTTTAATTCCATCTGCTTTTTTGTTCAAGGTGATAACCAGCCACTGATTCATCTGGTTTGCTAGAACATACGCTACTACTTAAGTGTCTCTCCCATGCCTTTCTGCGTGTAACGGTTATACTAGGTATCCACCAGCCTGCTTCTGTAACAGAAAAGAAGACAAGGTGAAGAGCCAATGTGAGAAATTAAATGCATTTAGTTTATGAAAAACATAGTCTCCTTTCTTGACATGTACGGTAACTGTGAAACTGTAAGTCTGAACAAATCTCTCCAGTGTTGTCTTTAATTCCCCAAGGGTAACATCCAATGACAAGAGCAGTGCAGGGTCTGGGCAAGAAAAGAGAACCCACAGCGCCGAGCACAGAGCTCATGACCGGCAGAGGCTCGGGGGCTTACCTGTCGCTGTACACAGACCTCTCAAAGATCTGCACTGCCTTCCCAAGCTCGAGCAGCTTCTCAGGGAAGGGTTCCAACTGCACTTTCAGGCGGCTCAGGAAAGAAAATGTCTGGAAGGTGTAGGACCATCGTGCTGGCTCCTGGTACATCATATCCAGCAAGTTTCCAAGACTGGTGGCAGCTCCAGCCTAGAGGCAAATTACAAAAGAGGAGAATTTCCTAGGAGGCACATTTCCTTCACAGTGTTTACTACCCTTCTACCTTGTACCTTGTAATCACTGAGAGAAGCAATTAGAGAAGTTTCCTTCCACTAAAAAGATACTGCATCCCTTACCATTTGTGTAGTCAAAGCTACACAATCAAGCAAGAGATTCTCCTACTTTATTAGATGAGAATCTGACAGAAGGAGGTGACATGCCACGTTCAACACGGCACAGAAGAGCAGAGGTAGAACCATCCATAGAATTAGCACATTCACCGACAGACGCGTTTGCAGAGCGGGTCAGAGGGAGAGTTAAGGATGAGGACCATCTAAAGCTCTACTTGCAATCATACTGCTTCTACTACAACACTATATTGCTTCTCATTTGTGGTTCTTTCTTTCTAAAACTAACCCAGACAAGAAAGTAACTGACTATAAAATCCAACCAACAAAATAGAGTTCTGTCTCTCTTCTGGCGGAGCTACAAGTTGTTAAGCAAACAAACAAACACACACACAAACCCCTCCTCCTGCATTCCAGACACTTCACGGAAGGCGTGTGAAGACCCACTTACTCAGCATGTGCAGGGGGGACGCGTGTGAGATACTCAGGGACCCTAGATTCTTTCCTGGGCTCTGCCACTGACTCAGCACCAAAGTGAGTTTTGCGCAAAGCACTCTCATCTGTTTTCATTAAGTCACCACTAACTGAAGGCCTGTGTGGATGAGGCGCTACGTGAGCTAGGTGCTGTAAGGGGTACAGAAAACAAAATTAAGATTTATCTCAATGTTCACTGTGCTATGCTGTCTCATTTAATCTTCAAAACAGCACCATGAGGTAGGTACCACTGTTGTGCCCATTTCTTTGAGGAGAATATCCACTCAGAAAGGTGACAGAACTTGTTTAAGGTTTCATGGTAAGTACTGAATGGGAACTCAAACCTGGCTTCCGCTAACTTCTTCATTCTGATACTTCTCCATATAAAAGTGAGCAAGACATGGTTCCTAAATTTAAGGAGCTCATAATGCAAACAGAAAGGGGGTGACAAAAATATGGAAAACTGGACTATAAAGCAGAACATACAACAAAGGGATGATCACATATGGTGGAGAGAATCTGGTAAGTTTCTGGGAAAAAGTGGCATTAAGCTGGGAAGTAAATGGTACATGGAATCTCCATAGATGGAAATGGGGATTAAGAAGAAAGAATTTCACGTAGAGACGAAATTATTGGGGTGGGGGGGTGGGGAAGGGGAGGTTAGACAACCACGAGTGGTCCGGTTTCACAGAATATCAACTGTGGATTCCAAAGAAGGGTCTTACGCTTTGAAGGTTTCATCAGGAACAATGCATGTAGAGCACAGCAGATCACAAAACAACTTTCCTCCTTCCAGTGGCAACCCACAAACACACACCAGCCTCACAATCGGCCCCTGGCTGAGAGCTGGAGGGTGAGGCAGGAGGACAAATGTGGATCTACGGGGGTCTCTGGCAGGGTCACTGGAGACTGTAGGGAGTCTGTGGTGCGTGGCATAGTTCTGAGATGGCAGGAAAGCCAGCTGACTGGAGTGGGGCACTGCGCTGGCAGAGGCACCAGGCTGACTTGGTGGGGGCTTCTACCAGCAGGCTTTGGGTACCAAAGGGAGCCTGCTGTAATAAAAATCTGTACAGAGGCCTACACAATTTGTAAAGAACCTATCTCAACTACAGAACATGAAGCACATATCCCTTCAGACATATAAACAAAAAAGGGGACAATCAGTGGATAAAAAATACTCAGCAATTCAAAAGGAGTGAACTCATCAATGTGCTCAGGACAAGCAGCCTCTCAGGAGACAGACCTATCGCCAGAAACAGGAGAAAACGGAAAAAGCTCAATGAGATTCAAGAGACTGCCACATTGATAAGAACAGGTCATCAAAAAAAGGAGCCAGAGACTTCCCTGGAGGTTAAGACCCTGCACTTCCATTACAGGGGCACGGGTATGATCCCTGGTTGGGGAACTAAGATCCCACAGACTGCATGGCATGCCCCCCAACAAAAGAAATGAAGCCATGCTCCAAATGGAACAATATGAAAAGAACATTCTTAGAGGAAAAAAATGCAATTGCCAAAACAAAACTCCCAATGAAGATAGTAACCAGCAGACTGTAAATTGCACTAAACCTAATTAGTGAGTATCAAACAGAATACTGGTTTCCTCATGGCTCAGACTAGTAAAGAATCTGCCTCCAATGTGGGAAACCCGGGTTCGATTCCTGGGTTGGGAAGATGCCCTGGAGGAGGGCATGGCAACCCACTCCAGTACTCTTGCTTGGAGAATTCATGGACAGAGAGCCTGGCGGGCTACATTCCACGGGGTCCCAAAGGTTCGGACATGGCTGAGCAGAGTCGGACATGACCGAGCGACTATGCACAGCACAGCACAGACAGAGCATCAACTCAAGGTCTTTCCTGAACTAAGAGGAGAAAGCAGAAAATTAGGAAATCAAAAGAGACAGTTCAGGAGATCCAATCTACACTGTTACACAGTGGTAGGGTGTTTTTTGTTTTTTCTTTCTTCTGGAAAGATGCATCAAGATGTAATGTCACCTCGTCCCACTCCACAGCAGTTAATACAATCTTGTATCAAATAACTTTTCAAACAAGAATTAAAATGATGTGCATCTTCACAGTACCCATATTTCATATAAAACTACATACCCAAAGTAAACAATTTTCTTTCTCAAGTGATGAGCCCAATACAGAGAGGTGAAATGCCACTCCCCTCCCAACAAAAAAGCAATGAACAGAGGAAGACCACTACTTATAAGGTCGGTCTCTCATCAAAGTTTACTGTCACTGAGAATCACTGTCTAGTAGAAACATGACATATCTCTAGGTATTTTAGAACAAAAATAAACGTTTAAAATCATGGTATTTTTACTATGGTTTTAGTTCAGGTGAAAAAGAAGCCAAAACCAAAGAAAAAAAGAGTATCTCTGAAGATGTGACTTTCCACCAGAGAAATTTGCTGAGTACCATAAAAGATTTAATATGGATTTACATATGTGGCTTTCATATTTTCTCTTTCTCTCTCTCTCTCACATACACACACGCACCCAGATCTATCCTGGCAAGATGTCAATAATTCATAAAAACAAAACAAAAACCTAAGGAGGGGGAAATATTAATTTCTTACATTTAAAAAAGGATCAGAACCACATAACACTTCCCTACAGCAGAAACCTAGACAGTGTATTAAAAGGCAGAGACATTACTCTGCCAATAAAGGTCCCTATAGTCAAAGCTATGGTTTTTCCAGTATTTATGTGTGGATGTGAGAGTTGGACCATAAAGAAGACTAAGCACCAAGAATTGATGCTTTTGAACTGTGGTGTTGGAGAAGACTGTTGAGAGTCCCTTGGACTGCAAGGAGACCAAACCAGTCAATCCTAAAGGAAATCAGTTCCTGAATAGTCATTGGAAGGACTGATGCTGAAGCTGAAGCTCCAATACTTTGGCCACCTGATGCAAAGAGCCAACTCACGGGAAAAGACCCTGATGCTGGGAAAGACAGAAAGCAGGAGGAGAAGGAGCTGACAGAGGATGAGATGGTTGGATGGCATCACCAACTCAATGACATGAGTCTGAGCAGGCTCCAGGGCATGGTGAAGGACAGGGAGGCCTGGTGGTGCTGCAGTCTGTGGGGTCACAAAGAGTCAGACACAACTAAGCAACTGAACATCACAACAGAAACTAAAGACATTTTAAGATAAGCAATCACTCAGAGATTATACTAATACCACCTACATTCTAAAAGAAAAAAAAATTCCTCTAAAATAAACTTCAACCAATTGAAAAATGAATCAAAGATTAAGAAATGGGAAGTGGCAATAAGAAAACAGTGTTCAGTGAATGACCAGCAGAAGAGAGTTAAGTATAAATTATTATTAATGCGGTTAAGAAGTTTACTGCCCATTTCTATAGTTAAGAGAAATTTCCAGGAATTCCCTGGTGGTCCAGTGGTTAGGACTTGGTGATTTTACTGCTAGGGTCCAAGTTCAATCCCTGATTAGGAAACTAAGATCTCAGAAGATATACAGCCTGGCCAGAAAAAAAAGAGAAATTTCAAACACTTCAGAACTAAAAAATTACGGATTTCTATGCTTGGGTGGTAGAGCCTGGAGAAAAAATTTTAAAAAGTAGTAAAATTTATTTTCTTTCATGGAGACGCCATTAACATTGATAAATAGGTTTAAACATGAATATATATATATATATTTTTTTAATTGAAGTATATATAGTTGATGTACAATATTATATTAGTTTCAGGTTACAACACAGTGATTCTGTATTTTTGCAGATTATACTCCACTATAGCTTATTACAACATAGATGGCTACAATTCCCTGTGCTATATAGTACATTCTTGTTGCTATTTAATATGTAGTAGTCTGTATTTGTTAATCCTGCATTCCTCACTTGTTCCTCCCCCTCCCCTCTCCTCTTTGGTGACCACAAGTTTGTTTTCTGTATATGTTAGTCTTAAACATACATATATATATTTATTATTTATTTAACATGCATATTTAACATGTATTTTATAGATATATATTTAACACGTATATTTTTAGTTTAAATGTTTCCACTAACAGAGTAAAAATAGTAAAAATTTCCACAGGAATGAAGGGGAGAAAGATGAAAGAAATATTTAAATACAGAAAAAAGGAAAAAAAGGAGATGAAAGCACAAAAATAAGGGGTGGCAGGAAGATTTTAAATATAATCATGATCAAAGAGAAAAATTCCCAGGAATGGGAAGCAGACCCTCAAAATGGGTCAAAGCTAAAAATCCTGTCCATAAGTGAGACACCAGAATAAGATGACATAGATTAGTTGAAAACAAAGGGGCAGAAAAATCCATCGAGTAGGTGCAAGTAAAAAGAAAGCAGATGTGGTAAAGCTGTATTAAGAAAAAAGCACTAGGGACTTCCCTGGTGATCCAG